CGGCCGCGCGCGCGGAGGGCACGAGATCGTTTTCGACTCTTCGGCGAGGGCCTGGCGCATAACCTGGGCCATAGGGTTCTTGTTTTGTTTTTGTTGTTGCCTGTTTCTCTGCAGCGCGCGCGAGAGCCCCAACTCCATGAGCAACCACGCAAGCGAGCACTCCATTGAACACCAGTGGCGCCCGTGACCCTTCATCAGGGGGGGATGGCCGGCGCAGAACCTGGGCCATCCACCCCAAGCATCCTCAGCAGCACTCGCAGAGTGCGCACCGCAAGCGCATGACTTTCGGGGTGCGCTTGCGTGCAAGAGTGACAGGAGAAGAAACAAAACGCTGTAAACAGAAACACTTGGCGCTCCGCGCGGATTTCTGGGATCCGTGCTGGACCCCCCTCCCTGGCGCGCGGAGCGCGCTAGGGGCGGCGCCGGAGGCGCCGCCGGGGGGGCCCAGCGCGGATCCAAGAAATCCGCGCAGAGCGCCAACGCTTTATGTTTATGTGGTCCTTCTCGTCTCCGAAGTAAACAGCCCGAGGTCGTGGCCCATTACGGGAAAAATTACCGCAGAACTCACCTCACTTGAGCCCTGGGGGGACGGGGGCGCGCCAGCGAGCCCAGGCGGGGCCCCGCCGCGGCGGGATCGCGGCGGAGAGCCTTCCCCTGCATTTTCGGCCTCGGGAGGCCCCCGCTGGGCCCCGGGCGCGTCGAGAAGCGGCTCGCGGTGCAGGACAGGCCCTGGGGAAGTGGTCTAGGCGTAGGTCGGGCATGTCCCCCTACAGGCCGATTTTGGATGAAAAGTTAAAAGTAGTCTTAACAAAAAAATGCTCCCAAAATGCTCAGAACATACTAACGAAATCGTCCCCACACTGTTTTTATATTATTTTTGCATATTTCCCCTTCAGAGGGACACGCCCGACGTAAGTCTAGGCCTCTGTGGATACACACCTTGAAGAATTTGCCTGGCGAAGGACCCAACCATATGCAAGTGTGGTTATCGTGTTCGGCGGAGCTCCCGATGAGGCCACGAAGCGTGTGAGTGGCAGCCACTGGGGCCTTTGGTGGAGCTCCTTATGGGGCACGAAGCGGGGCGGAACGGATGCGAACACCGCCAGTAGGGCCTTCAGTGGCCCTCCCTATGGGGCCACGAAACGTGTGAGTGATGTGCCGAAATGGATGCGGTGGGAGCATACGAACACCACCACGGGGCTTTCGGTGGAGCTCCCTGTGGGGCCACGAAACGTGTGAGGGGTGGGCCCGAATGGGTGCGGCGGGCGCATGCGAACGCAGCCACTGGGGCTTTCGGTGTAGTTGCCTATATGAGAGAATTGAGGCCGGGATCTGGGAGACGCTGGGATAATTATTGAATCGCTTCGCTCATTCCGCTGGCCCATCTTGCGCACCGCGGCGATGATGGTGACAGTGACGTTGACGATGATCACGATGAGAAGGAGGATGACGAAGAGGACGAAGAGGAGAAGATGTAGGAGGAGGATGACGTGCAGAAGGAGGAGGACAAAAAGAAGGGCATGACGATGACGATGGTGACGACGATGGTTCCGAAAACGAGGACGATGATGATGATAATGATTATGATTGTGATGATGATAATGATGATCATGATGATGATGATGATGATGATGATGATGATGATGATGATGAGGAGGAGGAGGAGGAAAACGATGAGGAGAAGGAGGAGGACGAAGAGGATGTGATGATGACGACAACGATGACGATGACGATGATGCTGATGATGCAGGTGCTGCTGATGATGCTGCCGATGCCGCTCAAGCGCTGACGGCGGTGCGCTTTCTTGAGGAAGGCTCTGAAATGAAATGCGATTTGTTCGACGGCGCTGCCGCGCTCATCCGCCAGGATGTTGCATGGCATTGCGGAGGCTTTGGCGGCGATTGCGGAGGTTTTGGGCGCGAGGAGGAGGAGGCGAGAATGAGGAGGAGGAAGGTGGATGAGCATGAGGAGGAGGCCTCTCGATGGCTTCTTGAAGCATTGTGGGGCCAAACTTGGTCGTGGAGAAAAAGGTGCCTCCGTGAGGCCTCTTGGGAGCCCCTTCGAAGCTTCTTGGGAGCCTCTGGGAGGCCTCTTGGGGCCTCTTGAGGGCCTTTTGAAGGCCTCCGTGGGCCTCTTGAAGGCGTGTTGGCGGCCTCTTGGAGCCGCCTGGGGACCTAAGCTCGAAATGTCCGTTCGGGTGCCCCGTCTGGGCTCGCTCTTAGAGCCGTCTTGGAGGCGTCTTGGGCCATCTTAGAGGTCTCTGGGACTGTCTTGGGGCCCTCTTGGTCCCTCTTGGGCTTATCTTGGTGGCTTGTTGGGCCGTCTTGGGGCGATCTTGGGGCCCTCTTGGGCATGTTTGGACGCTGTGAACCCTAGACGTCGTATATGCGAAAAATGTACGTTTCCCCTTGGGAATGTGACGATTTTTGCTTGTTGGAGCCCTCTTGGAGAGCCTCTTGAGGCTCTCTTGGGGCTTCTTGGCGGCCTCGAGGGCCGTATGAAGGCCATCTTGGGCGTCTTGGACCGCTCGTTCGGTGACTCGGAGCGCTTTTGGGCTGTCTTGGAGGCCTCTTGGGGCCCTCTTGGCGCGCTCTGGGGGGCCTCAGAGACCGCACCCAGGAGTAAAACCATCTCTGAGTAAAGGATGGCCGGGCTGCGCCCGAGCGGCGGTCGGGGTGCTTTTCGCCGGGGGACCCCCAGGGGCCGCCCCGCGCGCGCGAACCAGAAATATTGTTAACCAGTTACCGGAGATCTTAGCACGCCTCTGGCCCGTTGGGCCGGCGGGATCTGGGAGACGCTGGGATAATTATTCCCAGCCCTCCTGTGTAGGTTTCATTTTTGGAATAATTTGAGCATTGCGGTCGCGCACCTTCTCCTCCCCGCCCCCCTCCTCCTCCCCCCTCCTCCTTCCCCTTGCCTCCTCTTGCGCTGCTCCCTGGGTGGCTGCGAACTGCGCAATTGTTCTCAGTTTCGTGGGCTCCTGAGAGGTACGGTGGAGTCGGGGAGTACCCGAGACCTCGCAGCTCCGTGGGTGGCTGCGAACTGCGCAATTGTCACCAGTTTCGTGGGCTCCTGGAAGGCACGACGGAGCAGGGGTGTACCCGAGACCTCGCAATTCCCTGGGAGGCTGCGAACTGCGCACCCGAAACCTCGCAGGTCCCTGGGTGGTTGCGAACTGCTCAAGTGTCGCCACTTTCGTGGGCTCCTGGAAGGTCCAGGGGAATCGGGCACCACGCGGGTCCAGCCGAGACCTCGCGGCTCCCTGGAAGGCTACGAATTGCGCAGCTGTCGCCACGTTCGTGGGCTCCTGGGGGGCACGGCGGCGATGAGGGCAGCGCAGATCATGCATATCTGGCGACGTGTTCCTTTTGCGTGGAGCGTGCCTACAAACACTCGCCTCCCGTGGAGAGGGGGTGGGGGTACGTCTCGGGCAATTTGAGTATTGGGTCCAGGAACTAAGCTACAATACGATGGCACGGGGAGGGCCTCATCGCGGGTGCCACGAGGAACGCGGAGTGTGCCACTGCGGCATGGCGGACTTTCAGCGGGTAATCCCCCCACTGGTTAGCTGTTCCTGGGAGGTTAGGGGTGAGGGTACGGGGATGGGTAATGAGGGGTGGGCGTTGCGGGGCCCCTGGGAAGAACATGTTGCAGTTCCTCCCGCTCCCCCTCGTCCATCATCTCGCCTCTATTTCCTCTTGCTTCTCTTTCGTGTTTGCATGAAGGCCGAAACCAAGATAACACAACCACTTCGCCTACATCGTGTCTTGGGCTGGGGGCACGATAAGGGCGCGCCTATTCAGGCGCGTGAACAATACCCGACCACCCCTCCAGCACGGGTTGAGACTACCCGTCCAATCCCTGTCATCTCTGGGAGTCTGGTCCCAGGGTGATCCGGGCGCCTGCGAGGTCGAATTCGTATGCCACTTCGCTCTTCCTGTGAACAAGCAGTGGGGAACATATGCATGAACACTACTAACTGCCAGGGTTTGAACTGGCACCTCATGAGCCATGGGCCGAGGTTGCGCCAGGTGCTCTTGGATGCTCGGCGTTTTGATTGGGAGATTTCCTGTTTGACCGAGCTGCAGTGTGAAGCGCGTGATTGGGAGCTGCCACAACCCCATGTCCAGATGGCTTGTCTGGAAGTGTTCTTGTTTGTTCTGTGGCATCAGGTTGGTTTTCTCCTCGCCTTTCCCTGCAAGGAAATGTGGCTGGACCAGGTAGGGGGCCACATGCGAACCCTACTCCTACCCCCCGCAATGGGTGTCGTATCCGGGTGGGCTCTAATCATGGATTGTGAGATTGTCACTGCTGCCTCCTATGACCCCCCCCGAAGTAGCACGCATGACAGGGATGCTCGCTCTCTATCTTTTGCAGTTGCTACAGCTTTCTCGCACTCCCTGCCAGAGGCTACTCATGTCGTGCTTTTTGGGGGATTGAGATGGGCACATCTCCGGCGCGGACTGCGAAGGCGGCCGGGGGCCCCCGCAGGCCACGACGAATGGCGGCAAGGAGCTCTTACTCTGGCAAGCTGGCATCGAACGTTTCTCTCGACTCGACGGGTTCTTGCGCTGCTCGTTCCGGGGTGCGTGGCGGCGCAGCGTGGATCAGTGCTGGCGCGAGCTTCATGGGTTTTGTGCCCTCTGAGGCCATGCGGGGTGGGCTCGGGCACTGCGCGCGCATGCTGTGAGTGTTTCTGATCATCGAGCTAAGGACGCCGTGTTCCATGTTCCCTCGGTTGCGCGCCCCCGGGGCCGGAGTCGCGCCCCCGTGAGGCTGTGCCCGAGAAGCAGAGGAGGTCCTCCCGTTCCGGGCCAACGCTCTGCGCGGCCCGTCTCCCGCTCGCCATCGCTCGGACGTCCATTCCCTGTGTTTTTGTTCGGTTCCGTGCGCGGTTATTTCGCCAAATCATCACGGATGCTCCTCGATGGTCCTCGCCGAAAGAAACATGCACACGTCCGAGCGGTGCCAAGCCCGAGGCCAGAGAGTCTCGCAAATCC